AGTCATCCACCTAGAGCCCACGTGCTTCTTGATATCATCTGCCCATCTCATTTGGGGCCTTCCTCTGCTTCGTTTATATTCCCACGGTCTTTAACTTATAAGAATTTTGTTCCATCGGTCTTCTTTTTGTCTTATATTGTGTCCGGCAAATCTCCGTTTTAATTTTGCAACTTCTTGTCTAACATCCCTCACTTTTGTTTTCTCTTATCCACTCGTTTCTCTTTTTATCCATTAGTCCATTAGTCTTATGTGCAACATTTGTCTTTCCATTGCTCTTTGGGTTTTTATGATTTTGTCCATGTTTGGTAATAGAATTCTAAATTTAATCTGTTTCGGATTGAAATTTAAGTGTTTCGAATTGAAATTAGGCCAGAATCGAAAACATGATATTAGCAGAATAATTGTTTAATATATTATGCTATTTTATATTATTGTTGACGTAAAGGCACCTTTCATTTCATCAGCGTGTTAATACGACCATAGCCATCCCTTGTAAGCAGGCACGATACACAAAGAAGTGGAAACACTCCTTGGAGGCCACATATTTAAAACCGTTCTATTATCAATGGACAATTAGTTCACAACAATCTGCTGATAGTCGTTAAGTGAGGTCGCGACCGTAATGTATCTTAATAGTAACGACGTTAAAAGTTTTTGATAGAGTAACAAGCAATCTCTGTCTTTTTTTGGTGAAAATGCTGATCTGAACCCATTGGGCCAAAGCGGTTGAAGTCCAACCATATGCAATTTTTGATGCGTTTCTAATGTTTTGTCTCAGTCAACGATTGATTCGGTAAAATCGTGGTAGGTTTCAGGTAATTTGCCAACTGAATGACTAATACCTTATTCTGGAGCTTTTTATAATATAAAACACTTTTAAAATATGTACTTAAACTTTCTACAACATATGTTAAGTGCATATTATACCTTTTGACGTATATTTTTAATTTAAGGACAACAAAATCCGGAATGTAAATATATGATATGACAATTATTAATTTTTCTCTATCCCCATTCCATATTTCTCTATTTTGTCAAAGAAGAAAGCACACGTCAGCACGTCTTCCTGCAGGTTCGTACACCAGAGGTGCTTAAAAACGAAATCCTTAGGCCTAACCTACTTTTCCTTACTTTTCTAAAGGTCCAATGTACATCGCCCGCAGGAATGTATCTTTTCTTAACATAGAGCCATTACCTGTTTTCCTAAAACCGCGGTTCTTGGTTTCGTACAAAAGTTCGAAGTCTCGGATTTCCCATTTTTACGCAAGAAATTAGAAAAATATTCGATTTAACAAATATAGAAATATATAAATATAAATATTTATATATTTATTTAAATTTCATATGTTCATATCACAATCTTTGCAGAATTCGCTTTCTAAGAGAAACATCTACTGCTCTATTATTGCAACTTTTGTAAGATGTATTACACGCAGTTGTTTGGAAATAGTGGAGGTTTGACTATCAGTCGAAATATTTAGTGTTCTAACTCTAATACTGGTAATAATTTTGGATGTGCTATACTACAGTATAAAAGTGTCCAAGTTAACTTAAACATACACCTTGGACAAAAATTGGTGTAAAAATAGGCAACGGAATCTTTTAATCTTTCCTATATAGCATAAGATCCAAGAATACGGCTAAAACTGTCGATCACTGTTTTTAAAATACAGAATATTAGTCAAATTTGTTTTATTGCAAGTTTTTCTGAAAATTTATTATCCTCTAACTTTATTATTTTAGAAAATACATGAAACAACTTATACTTGTATTCAATTCGAGTCTTCGTTATTCTAACCATATTTTTCAGAACCAGATTAGTACTTTGTAGCTTCTAAAGTAAAAGTGAAAAATTAAGACCACATAAAATAAGGATGGCAAAAAACTACCAATAAACCTTTATAGCCTTTACAGCCACAACAGAAAACAATGGGAATTAGGTAAAAATATAATGAGAATGTTAAAAACGAAAATGGAAAGCTGATAATAAACTTCTGCAGGCAGAACGAACTTAGAATAAATAACAAATGTTTGATTACAAAGACCAACACAAATATACATTTAATAATACCCGTGGACAAATATCTATGATGATAGATGATATTATAATGAACAGAGGTATACATCCATCAAAAGTAATTGACGTAATATGCCTCAACTCAGCAGATGTAGGTAGCAATAATAGCCTAGTATTATGTAAAATAAGAATCATCATGAAATACTTCATATCTAAGAGAGTGGCAAAGGAACACAAACAAATTCAAAGTCGAAGGACTAAAGAAGGGATCCACAGAATACTTATACAGAAAAAGAATTTCAGAGAAGATTGCTGGGAATGAAATATTAGAAAACTAAACATCAAGTTTGTAGAGAAACAGCAATGATAACAAAGTAGATAGAGTAGCTTATCAGAATCTCATAACTTCAGAATTAAAAGAAATAGAACAACTAAATGAAAATGCATTACATATAGAGGTGACAAATATGCGAATAAATAGTGCGATTCGAAACACCCATACAAAATATAAGGAAAAAGCAAAAAACAAGATGGTTAAACTCATTCAAGCTACTAAAGATCTTATAAACAAAAGAAGAGAATTGAAAGACAATTACACAGATAATTCTAAAACATTAAGACAGTTAAACAAAGATATCACAAAATCCATTCGAAAAGATGTCAGAAAATTACAACACTGAATTCATAACTCAAGCCATTGATAAAAATAAAAGTTTAAAGGTTCTGCGCCGACAAATGACTGAAGGATCAAAAAATATTTGTAAATTTGTAAATAAAAAAGGAGAAACTACAACAAATAAGGAAGATATTTTAAAAATTGCTCAAGATTTTTATTCAGAATTATATAAGCGAGAAGAACTTCCAGATCCTGATCAAAATCAAATACCAAAAGATCAAATGTAGGCTTAGAGGATATCCCAGATATCACAACAGAGGAAGTAAAATCAGCTCTCTCGGAGATGAAAAACAATATCACATATTTATTATAACCAGATTTATTATAACCATTTTGTTAATTGTTTATGCGCATGTTCATTAGCCCTACACTAATTTAATAAAGTAGTAACCTACTGCGTTTTCTGTTTGTTTTATTATGTTTTACATCGTTTACGCATGAGCTCACGCGATATTTATAATTCCCGTTTAATGTTGAGGGCTAGAAGCCCTATTTGCTTCTGCGCATCTAGTTTTTGTGTAGTTTATTCTAGTGCTTGTTAAGTAGTACTACATTTATTCAGTTTAATTTATTATTAATTATTTCATATTTGTTTAGGATCTAAATTTAATTTTCCTTTCTTCTTCTTAAGGTACCCTCACCATTACTGAAGGTTTGCTATAACTACAGCAAATTGCTCTTTATTTTAAGCTGTTCTTAGTATCGAATGTGTATCCATGCCTGTGCAGTCTCTTACATTTTTCAGCCAGGAGCATTTTCTTTTTCCTGGACCTCTTCTTCCTTCCATTTTTACTTATTTGTTTTGTAAATGATGACACCGTAGTAACATTTATCCTTTATTTATTTTTTGTTTCTTCATCATTTGTTTATAATATCATCCGTTTTGTCTACTTTCTGTAATCTATTTTCTTTCAAAAGGGTGTAATTGACACCCTTTTAAAAGGGTGTAATTTTAAGGGTGTATAAGACAAATGAAACCTTCAATAAATTAAAGAGAGAGGCAAAAAAAAAACCGGTCTAAGGGTCAATGAAGAGAAAACCAAATATATGTGCATTCCTCAGAAAGATCTTCAATCCCTATCACGATCCGAATACTAACCAATACCAAATGAGAACAAATGCCGAGGTCAAACAAATGTATAGTGCTAGCGACGTAGTCCAAGAGATTAGATCCCAACGTCTAAGATGGGCTGGCCATTTTCATAGGCTCCCTAATAACCGCCTTACCAAGTTAATCTGGGAAGAAGTCCCGACAGGGAGAAGGCCCTTAGGACGTCCACGAATGGATGGAGAGATAATATATGGTCAGATTTGAGAACAATGGGGCTACCCACTGACTAAAACATCATGGACGACCGTTCGAGATAGAAGCAGGTTGTGCAGTCAGCCAAGACCCACCCCGGGTTGTAGTGCTACCAGAAGAAGAAGAAGAATTAGACAAATTCTAGCTGTTAATAGATGGCGCTTCTGGTTTTGACATCTGTTATTCAACGCATTATGTTTTAAAAAAATATTCACTCAATAGTTACAATCAGTTTGGTTTTAATCAGTTGTAGAAAGCAACAAACTTTCATATTTTTTTTTAAATAAAAATGGTAATCATTCAGGTATTACGTGTTTCAAAATAATCAGAAAGCTATTCGCCAAATGACGTCAACTTGAAAAACCAACACGTGTGTTGGATTCGCCGACAGCTTTTTTCGCTGATACGAAAATGTTAATGAAATATGGTTTCATTTCTACAAGACAAAGACGAAAAAACAACAGTAGTGGAGAAAAAGCAATGATAGCTTATGGAAGAAGGCCAATAATAGCCCATCAGCTAGATGTCTAGAACACCAAGTAATAACACTGTATTTTTTTGGTAATTCTTTCATTTAAACAACGAATTGATTTATTATGCGGTCGCTACATAATCAATATTACGTCAATTGAAATACGAATTGATCAAACAACCATAATTTAGCTTAGTGTGACTATTTTTTATAAATTAATAAATCGAGAATATGAGATTATATTAAACAATAAATGAGGAAGATATATAGAATTGAGAATAATCTTATTTACATAAGACTAACGTCAAATGACCTTCGTAAAAAACCTCAAAAATTAGTTAAACCAAAAAGTTGCATAAGAAAAACAATTCTGTTGTTAATTATTGCTATAATTTTTGATATATTTTAATTACTTAGTATCCACCAGTAAGGTATAAAAAAACTTAAATTAATGATAAATAAATGGTAAAAGAATAAAAAATAATTCATATTATATTAAGAAAAACACTAAGAGAAAAAAAAAAAACAAAAAGAAATGTCATGCTTTATTTATTACTAAAATTGTTTTATTTATCTACAAAGTAAAAAAATAACACAAAAAATATGGAATTTCTAATGTCAAATAAAAATATTACATCCCTTTAGTCAGTTCCACTTTACCCTATTTCGCAATAATCTGATTCTCAGTTACAATTCCGTCATATACATTTGAACATTGCTAGAAAATATTGTCCGCTTTCTGCCTTTTAAAAATATTGCTTATTTTTGTCTACATTGAGAAGAAAAATATCTTTATGTAAAGAGATATGTTTTTTACAAATTGCGCATAAAATGGGAAAATACGAGAGTCCAGCGAAGAAGTATACATGAAGTAGATAATTTTGAAGATCCAAAAGTTGTTGGTAATAATTTTTGCTTTCTAAACTCTGCATGTAATCCAAAAAAGGTGCCATAACTATACAAAATATTAAGGTACGTATATATATGTAACAATTCTGCGAAACGAATTCCATCGTGTAATATGGCAACGCAATCTTGCTACTAATAAACATTTTGTGCGTACACTGTCGGACTTTTTATTTTGCTTCCACGCAACAATAAAAGTTCTGTGCTTCAAAGCCAAGTTTTGATATTGTTTAACAGAAAACCGACAATCAATAATACGGTCTGTTCTTATGATGTCATAACACGTTGCCAGATTACACATTAGTCATAGATTCGATGAATTATTGCATTTCTACACGGCCTTAATAAATATTTACGTGCAAGCAATTAACTCTTCAAACATTACTTGATAGAAAGAATAAGAGTAGATTGCAAAACGCAGGACAAAGACAAAAACCACCGCTATGTCTTTGATCTCAGTTTTTTGTAGCCAGATACTTCATGTATACGTCCCAAACAATAACAAAGCAACAAATTATAGCTGTATTTTTGAGTCGTTTGCCTATAAATTGTTTACGGTCGAGATGCATACGAGACAACACCTAGTCGTTCAAAGTCATTACAGGATAATAGTGATAATGAAGACATTGGTGAATTGAGCAAGTTCGTGTATATTGAATATATGGAATATTTTAATATTTTAGAAAGTTTACAGACCAAACGAGTTTACCGATATAAGAATAAATGAGTTTTTTGTGGAAGGAATACTCATGGCGAGTATTCAGCTTCAAATATGTAGCTTAACAAGTTATTTGTTCAATTAACAAAACGTACACGTTTATGAAGGTTGTCCGGATTGTTAAAGCAATATAAATTGGTTATACAGTACCCAAAGTTAGTGTTAAACATTAATCTATGGATCCGAGTATTTTGCCGTGCTATCTAGGTTGTATACAGATGCCATGATTGACCAATTCACGAAAGTCAAGTAGATCATTATTAAATTACAACTACATCATCTCATTATGAATGACTCTATCTCTGTTTAGAAAACAATAGGTAAAAAGTAGATCTTTTGAACAGCTGGTATTGTCTCCTGTGCTTGATCCAACCGTAGTAAGCTAATACGTTTACAATGTGTGCAAGTTTCCTAATATAATTTTTAATACGTTTTCAATTTTATATAAAATGAAGGTATTTTCGTATATACAATTGATCAGGGAATAAGAATTGTCTGTAGGAAGGAAACAGTTGTGATAACAGGGTCGTGTCGTATATATTCCTCTAATTTGTACCAGATTCGCGGAATCGGTACAGTATTTGTGCAATTCTGGTTACTGCATTGGGGTTTGAGTACAAAGCACCTACCTTTTGTTTATATTTATGGTACAAAGAAGAATTTTCTTAACTTAGTCAACCCGTTCAATGATTTAAAAACAAAATAATCGATTAATTTCCTTGTTGCTTCAGGAAAATATGTATCTAAAGTTAAACAACGAGGATATTTTTAATTAATGCAACGTAATACTTTTAAAATTACTCATTTGGAAAATTTACTTTATTCATTCGGAAAAGAAGATCCTAAAACACCAGCTATTTTTGTTTAATTTATACATAACCTGTAAAACAAACTAATGAAAATAAAATATGGTAGATATTAAAGTAATAAGTAAACTTGTTTTTTTCAATAAAAAGAAAGTAAAGATACCTATACATATTATAAGCAGTGACTAGACAATTACATAACCTTAAACAATATGTTTTCCAAAAGACATGCAAAATACTTCGAATAGAGCAAAAAAAGGCAAAAAATACTCAAATATTCAACTAAACAATAATTTAACAAAGGCAGATGTAAGACAATTTTGAAGTTTCAAAATGCGATCGATTTACTTAGAGCAAAACCAATTATAAAAATATTTTAAAAGTGGTAGAAAAAGCTTTGGATTTTAACAAACAAATCATAACGACGATTGTTGTGTGAGCAAAATAATTAGTATTTAGAACCTTCTCTTCCTTTAAAATTTCATCCAAAATATTTTAACTAACACTCAACATTGTAAAAAATTAGAGAAAAATATTGCTCAGATATTTCAAAATAAGGCCAGAAGAAATAGAAATCTAAACCTAAGAAGATAAAAGTAATAATTACCTACAAATACTAAGAATATTCTAAATCAACGATTTGTTTAAATATATTTTCCTAATGGTAGGTTGTCAATGATTTAATTCGTAAAAGTAACAGGAATTAGGATCCAAAATCTAATATCACTAATAAATAAGTTAAAAAATATTTAATCACAAAATTGCTATAAAGAATATTTTGAAAAAAATTGACTACTACAGCTGTGACGTCATATTAGGAATTTGAGGTTAGGAACGTTTTCAAATAAATCTTTTATAACATGCTATAACGCCCAACATGTATTTTAATATATTTGTTTCCCAAATTTATTGCAAATGTGAGCACTTGTGCCCATTTTCTATAAACTAACCATATAACCAAGATTTATCAATAAACAAATCATTCTGAAGTAACTTTTAGAGTAAGTTTTGGGAAATATAAAATTTTGAGGTTAGGGTTTTAAGTTTATATTTACAAAATGTATGTAAATGTAAAATAGGTAAGTGCTACGGGCTTTTAGCTGTTATTACAATTTTGTTTGGAAAAGCTGCTAAGCTGGATCCACTTTTGTGACGTTGGACTTTAGTAGTCAATTTTTACAAAAACAAAAGAGATTTCATTAAACTTCTATTAGTAACCTTTAAATTCTTAATCGATATCGATTTTCTCTTATGCAATATATATTTGAATTCCTCCTAATCAATAGATATATTTATATTCTTCCTCTGTATAACCGCAGTCGAAATATTTTTACATTACCAAATATAATAATAAGTTGTCGTCACCTAAGAAACGATGCAGCGCAAAAACAGTGACGGGGAGTACCCAAAAACCGGGTTTGTGAAGTCTCTAGTATCCATTACAAATTTGTTGAGCACCTAAATGATTAAAGCTAAACTTAATATTAGTTCTAATATTGCACAATTCTAGCGAAGTGTCCATCTCACTTATTGCTTTAATAAAATAAAAACAGATAACAGCAACCTGACAAGAATTCGATGCATTTCGTATGATAATTTGTACCCTTAAGGCTAGAGAAGTTTTTATATGTACTAGTATTTATACAAACAAAATTCAGACAAGTTTTAGGGTATATACATAGTGTCCCAAACATTTTTACAGAGCTTTACAAGAAAATTTCAACATTTTGTATTACATTAATACTGCATAAACGGCGAAACAAGAAAAAAAGTACATTTAAAACCTCAGGACATATCCGCTGAAGAAAAACACCAATATTTTCAGCTTCATCAAACCAAACCAACGCCACAAGAACAAAAACAGTTGATGTGAAATATGATAGATAAACGAAAACTTGAAGAAAATACTTCTAACATCACATAACCTAAGAAATATCTGCACCACTGGACCAGTATCGCTAAGATGGTTGCGTTAAATCTCCAAATATCCAATCAGTAAAAAACACTGTCCAGAAAAATCTCGTCTTTTTGATATCCAAGGTGTTACGAGAATATGTGGGGAAGTTGGACTCAACAGGTGATGAACAGTGGCTCTGAATTGATGTTCTTGAAGGCAGATAGTTGGTGAATAGTAGAAGTATTATCCAAAAAAATGGATCACGGAAACCATCAACAATACTAATCCCAAAGACAAAACAGGTAGAAAAAAACATCGGATAACTGAAAAGACTCCCAATCTTGTAGAAGAAAGGCGAAAACTTTGAAACGGCACATAAAATTAAAAACAGAAAGAAATAGAGATATGTACCATTAATACAACTATAAAACACTTGTAAGAAGGGACAAAAATAATTATATTTAAAACATATGTGTACAACTAGAGGAACATGCTGACCGCCAAGAATCTAGAGAACTTTTCTCAAAAGTCAAGTATCTAGCAAGAAAATTTAAACCGCAGATACATATCATCAAAAATAATAGTGGAAATACCATAAGAAATCCAGACGGTATCGCAGAGGTGTGGAAACAATATTGCAAAATACTATTCTCAAACAACGACTTAGACAATAATACAGAGAAAAGAAGTTATGAAAAAGAACCCCAAATTTAAAAATCAGAAATTGAGGCGGCAATTAAAAAGCTACAATTCATAAAAGCAGAAGAAGAAGATGGAATAACAGCTGAAACACTCAAAGAAATAGAGACTGAACTAATGCTTAGTGTTTGAAATGAGATTTGGAATACAGGAAAGTGACAAAATGACTGGGGTAAACTCTTATTTATTCCCATATATAAAAAAGGTTCACCGACAGATTGCAGTAATTACCGTACAGTAGCATTGATATCACACGCGAGCAAAGTACTTCCAACCATCATCCATGAAAGACTAAAATCAATTCTCATTGGGATATTTGGTATATCCCGAAAAGTATTAACTTCCTTAATTTATCAGTAAGAATAAAATAGAGAAAAACGTGGTATTGAAGGAAAAAAATATCCTGGTTGTTTAGCGATATTCTTCAATGATGGAGACGACACAAAAGATGGAGATAAAACCTAAAAATCTTTCAAAAATAATTTTCCAAATAAATGCAATTCAATTAAAACCCATTGTTTTTTTGATAAAAATTTACCTTGGAAGAAAAACTTATCGATAAGACTCTGATTTCCTAATTATTATAATTTAAATATGTTCAAAAGTTTCAGCGTAAAAGCCGTAAAAAAATTGGGACACTCGGTATGAAATATGTATATTATGTAAAAAATTATTATATACATTCTTTTGTTAGCAGTATCACAGAACTGTAGAAGAGTACTGTTATTTCCTGTATGTTTTCCTAATAATTATGTACTTAGTTTAAAAGTTTATTGCTAAAAATAAAAATATGTAGTTGTTCATTTTATCGTTTGTTCAGTTATCACACGAATTTGATCGAGTACCTGAACAGTTGCTGTCTGATCTTGCACGCACTAATGCAGTGTATGGCCAGTTCAATGGTGGTCTGTGCGCAGAATGAGTGCAGCTGTGGCGACAGTGAGCACTGGCATCTGGCACAGTTGATCTGACAACACTGAACACTAGTGCGTGGAGTGCCGTCATTGTAAGCTCGATTCCTTGTGGAAAGTGTCAGATTTATGGAAAGATATCCTTCCGTTGTTTTCGCTGCTCCTGAACAATGACATATCTTGCGAGGCGAAATTATTTTCTGATTTGGGTCGTGGTAGGGTTAATTTCTGTAGATTCCAGCCTAGTTCTCGAATGTCTCGATCGCTGGAATGTAGTCGGGCTACAGATTCGTTTGACATATTTACATGGTCTGCTTCTGCAGCTAGAGCGTTGACAACGGCGTTTATGGTTTTACTTTCGCTACCTAAGTCTTCTTCTCGATGGGCGAGGAGGTTTGGGTTTTTTCCTATTTTGTTCAGCCTGCACACAGAAAAATTGATTACAAATATATGGTAGATATTAGAGAACTAGTATCAAACTTAGGTAGTAAGTGAATACAAAGATTTTTTAAAATATAAAACTTATTTAGACTATCGTTTTTGCTTATACAAATAAAACCATTGTATTTAAAAATCTACAAGTACTTTTTTCTTGTAGTGATTTACATTACGTGTGTATATACTTATGTATATAGCGAGATTACTATACTGAAGGTAATGATACTGAAATGAGTACAAAAGCGAATAAAATTGGCACATTCCACACAAAAGCACATCGAATATTAATCTATAATATAAAATATGGTTCTATCATATGAAATAAAATTAAATATGTCGAAATTGACTGTATTCAGAATACAATTATCTAAGACCGCATTATATCATTTTTATCATAACGTTTCAATAAGTATATGCTTTGCAGCCGACGCGTCGTGACGTGTTCCAAGAAAAAAAAAATAATTTTCTGGTTTTTTTACTGTGGTATTACCCCCAAACAAAATAAAAAACGAGATGCAATAAAATCTTCCGTCTACTTCTCATCGACGGATTCGCAACGCTAAGAATTCGGTTTGTCTGGCAAGAAATAATGTCGGACCGCTGTGTTCGATATATTCTCAAAATAAAAGTTAATTGGGTGTTTTTGGTTCTACATAACCCGTGTTAAAATTCAGAGATTGTAGTTTGTTATTTTTATAAATTTTTGTGACTGTTCAATTAAATGCAATGCAATGAAACAAGCCAAAGGTGGTAAATCTCCCGGGCCTGATGAAGTTCCTATCGAATTACTTAAAATTGTGAATACTGAATATATTGATCTTCTTTTGGATCTATTCAATACCGTATATAGAACAGGTATAATACCTAAAGAATGGCTCCAATCAACATTCATACTGCTTCCCAAAAAAGCCAATGCAAAGGAGTGCAATGAACATCGCACCATAGCCTTAATGAGTCATGTCTTGAAATTGTTTTTAAAAGTAATTCACAATAGAATACATAAGAAATTAGATGAAGGCATAAGTAATACACAAATGGGATTTAGGAAAGGACTGGGAACACGAGATGCACTGTTTGCAGTAAGTGTTCTTTCGCAGAGATGCTTAGAAACTAATCAGGAAGTATATGCCTGTTTCATTGATTTTGAAAAGGCATTTGACAAAGTGCAGCATAATCGACTTAAAGAAATTTTATTAAATAAAAACATAGACAGTAGAGACATTAGAATCATCTGTAACCTCTATTGGAATCAAACAGCAAAAGTGAAAGTTGAAAACGAACTGACCAAGGATATCCAGATTCGCCGTGGGGTCCGCCAAGGGTGTATTTTATCACCCTTGTTATTAAATTTATACAGTGAAGCCATCTCAGAATTAGCGCTTGCCGAGATCAGTGAGAGCCTTATAATAAACGGTGAGCCACTTAATAACTTAAGATATGCTGACGACACCGTTCTTCTGGCAAGAAGACTAGAAGAACTGCAACACCTTGCTGAACAACTAAATATATATTGCAACGATTATGGACTAAAAATCAATTTGAAGAAAACCAAGTTCATGGTATTTACAAAAGCACAAAACATCAAAGTTAAGCTAGTACTAGATAGTACAGAAATTAAACAAATATCTTCTTACAAATACCTTGGAGCATGAATCACAGAAGATACTCATCAGACAAAAGAAATAAGATGCCGCATTGAAATTGCGCGGTCAACTTTTAATAGAATGAGAAAACTTTTTTGTAATCGCAATATCAATATATCGCTCCGGATAAGAATGCTTCGATGTTATATTTTCTCTACCCTTTTGTATGGAGTTGAAGCTTGGACACTTAAAAAATCCAACATTAAAAACCTAGAAGCATTCGAAATGTGGTGTTACCGACGTATTTTGAAAATATCATGGATGGATCGCAAAACAAACGAACAAGTTCTCGAAAAACTAGGAAAACAATGCGAAGTTTTAAATTCCATAAAAATCAGGAAATTGGAATACTTGGGGCACATCATGAGAGGTGAAAAGTACGAACTACTAAGGAATATAATGCAGGGTAAAATCAAAGGTAGAAGAAGCGTAGGAAGACGTAAAATCTCGTGGCTACGCAATCTCCGCGAATGGTTTGGATGCAGTTCAATTGAACTATTTAGGCGAGTAACCAATAAAATTATAATTGCCAGAATGATTTATAATCTCCGATAGGAGTGGAACTTGAAAAAGAAGAATTAAATAAAATCGGACACTTTTGCTGCATAGACTGATATTTAGAACGAACCAAGGCGACTGACTTAGTGAAATCAATGAAAAAGTATAAAGTTTTGCTAATAGGAGGAATGCATCATAGTGAATACTTAGTATCCTACTAAACTTAGATATTCTAATAACCTAAAAGGTTGTATCGTCCTATTACAAATAAGGCAAAGTTGTAACACTATTTAGCATAATGCACAACACCAAGAAGTTAGATTTAACTGACTGTTTACTAGACTATTTTTAACTGAAAAAACGTCATAGCAACGCCATGTTTCCTACAGACAAAACTCCTTACTGCCCGTGATTTCTTAGCGACAAAATTATCTGGTGTCTGGTAATTCTATTGTTGTCAGTTTGACAGATGTCATTGAGGCGTAATCAATTTTGGACAGATATAATGAATCCAGACGAAAAATCAAGATTTTGATGCCAGTCAGGTAAAGAAATAAAAAAAATTGGTTTCGGAAAATGTCCCATTGAACACGCAGAGGTCCGGAGGCTCTATTTGGACAAAATTTTAGAAGTTCCTACGGGTGAGAAATTTTACGCATGAAAGATGTACTACCACAACGGAACTGGCCAAAATTCTCGACGATTATGCCTTTAACATAAAAAAAATAATAACGAAGACTATAAAGAGTCATCTGTGAAATCAATCTGGAGTACTACAGCAAAAATGGTACATGAAAAATATTTTATAAAGTACGGTATAAATATCGACCCTTTCACAGATATATCTTTCAAATGTGAAGATTGGCCAGAGATACCAAGCGCAGGCAAGTTCAAAGTATTCAAGAAAAAAAACAACTCAGTTTAAAAGCATTATTCACCGAAGAATAAAAACACTGAAGAACACAATAAAATTCATAAAGAAATCAGAAGAAAAATTCGGGATGCAAAGGAAAAATGGTACAGCAAGAAATGTCTTGAAATAGAAGTACTACAGAAATAGAATGACACGCTTAATATCTACAAAAAGGTAAAAAAAATAACTGGAACATATAGATCAACTGCAAGTAGTTTACTTGATAAACAAGGAAATATTATAGTCAATGAACAAGACAGATTAGAGAGGTGGAAAGAATATATTAGGGAGCTGTTTGATGACGATAGAACAGAAATTCAAATTAAAAATATATCGACTGGTCCAAACATAACACTCGATGAAATGAAAAGAGCTATAAAGCTGTCAAAGAATAGGAAAGCAACCGGTCCAGATGAAATTCCAAGCGATATAATCAAACTGCTCGACGATAAGGGCAAACATTCTCTTCTAAGCCTCTTTAATAAAATATACGAAACAGGACATATACCAACAGACTGGCTACTGTCAACATTTGTAATGATACCGAAAAAAATAAATGCCAAACAGTGTAGCGATCATCGCACTATCAGTCTGATGAGTCATGTACTAAAAATTTTCCTCAGAATACTGCACTCGAGAATTTACAACAAAATAGAAGTACAACTAAGTGAAACGCAATTTGATTTCAAAAACAATTTTGGAACCAGAGAAGCACTCTTCAGTTTGCAGGTCATGGTTCAAAGATTTAGGGATATAGAACAACTAGTATATATATGTTTTATCGACTTTGAAAAGGCCTTTGACCGAGTAAACCACGACAAACTTATAGATGTCTTGCAACAGGTGGGAATTGATGACCGAGACCTCCGTGTTATCAAAAATTAGTATTGGCATCAATGTGCAAACATACGAGCTGTACACAACACGACGGAACCAGTGGAAATACGACGTGGAGTGAGGCAAGGATGTATTCTATCGCCTGTTATTAGCCTCTACGGGCTAAAACTTAATACTTCTAAGATAAAATTTATGGTTATCAGCAAAACGGAGTTACAACCAGCGAACATTAGAGCGTATGGAATAGAGTTAGAAAGAGTCCACAATATTACCTACATGGGTGCAAACGTTAACGATATCTGGGATATAAATAAAAAAATAAGAATACGCATTGAAAAAGCCAGAGCCGCCTTCTATAAATTAAAGAAAATTCTAATTAATAGAGATATTACGTTAAACCTTAAAATCAGATTAATACGCTGCTACATATTCTTCACATTGCTGTATTGTATGGAGAGCTGGACCCTTATAGAGGCATTAATGAAAAAATTAGAGGCCTTTGAGATGTGGATTTATCGACATTATCGAGTATTGCGGATAAGTTGGGTTGATCGAATAAGAAATGAAATAGTTTTACATCGAATGAAAAAAAGCACAGAAATACCAAAAACGATAAATACAATATACAATATTATATACAATTGATCGAAAATCTCATAACAACAAATGAAGCTGGACCTTCGAGTTCCCAAATGCTACAGGTCAATAATACATAAAATCTTGCTTTGATTGAAACAACTATAGCTTATAATAATTGCACATTACATTTTTTATTGTTTCGTTTCGAAATATGCAGGAAAAGATTGAAGAATGAGAAAATCTGGGCCGCAGAAGAATATTCTGGATGAAAAATTTAAGAGTGGTTCTAAAAGAACTATTTAGAACAGCTGTAAACAAAGTTACACAGAAAAAGAAAGCTTGGAAGACTAAAGTAGATGGATCATCTGTAGCTTTTGAAAATTGACGGATCAAAAAAATCATAACCCAACAATACGATACAAAATAGATCTAAGAGGCGACAAGATATATGGAACAATACAAAAAGAGGTTAAACCAATCGAATTTAGAAATTGCCGAGCGAAATCAAGAAAT